AATTTAAATTTAAATTTTTAGTACAACATTTATTCATTCTGAAGCTTCCATATTAATTTACTTCTGTGCAACCCAACTGTTACCATTTAATTTCATCATCAATTTTCATCTTCTATAATCTTCCATTTCATTAATGGCTCTCACTTTAACAACAATAATTTATTTTCAACAGTATGATTGAAATTGAATGATTCTTTTTAAAATAATAATAATAATAATAGAAACCTACACGTGGAAACATAATTTTGCAATCTCAGTAATTATTGAAATGAAATCTCTAGCAATCAATGGCTCAACTAACAGAATAGACTTCTATTTAAAGTTTAAATTTTCCTATTGCTACAATATGTCTCTGAAAAATAGGAAGAGATTTTATATGGAACTAAATTGGAAATATAATGCTTATTTTTATTATAAATAAATAATAATATCTATTTAAATAGCATAATTGTGGTTTCCAGCCTACAGTCTACCAAATTTGACATTTTATAAGTTAATTAAGGATATGAAATTTATGGGATTATAAAATGGTAAAAAAATATTTCTTTGACCATAAATACTAATAAAATTATGGGTCATAAATTTATTTTGGAAATATCAAATATCACTTAATGAAATGTTCAACAATGACGTGAGTGGGAGATTGAACCATAAAAAATTTAAGTTGTAATATGTGTCTTATCCACTTAAGTTAGGTTCGAATTAACTATGAAAATTTTTTTTTTAAAAAAAATTAGATTTTCTCAGTCTAAATAAATACAAGATTTTCTCCATCGACACCTTAATACAATGTGTGACTCATTCAAATTAGCTTTTTAATCAAATGGATAGATTAAAATAAAATTATTCAACAAAAAAAGTATTATTGTAAATAAAATAATGCCCATTAAATACCAAACCTAGCATATTTTATTATAAAACCAACTTTTTAAAAGAACTTTTAAGCAAAGTTGTGCACTTCAACAACCGAATTAGAAAGGAAAAGAAAAAAACCCTTAAATTGGACATTGATTTTATATTTTGCAAGTACATCCATGTACTTTTCCTATTAACATTTTTTGTCATTATATATATATTTTGACACGTCCAAAATGGTCATTTCGATCCAATCCAGCTGGCATATTAATTTGTTTAAAATAGACCTGATTATTCTTTGTGTCATTTTTTTATATCCCTTTCTCTAACTTGCAAGCATTGTCTTTTCCCTATTAGCTCAAAATTCACTTGCTTTCGTCATATTTCATTTTCTAATTTCTAAGCATTATATATTCTCTCTACAAATTTACTTTGCAAATAAGCCCCTGTTTCTTTTTTTCTTCCAAAGAAAAAAAAGAAAACTTTGATTCATATTCAAATGACCGAATTACCCTCTCGTCAAAATTACAAAAACAACAATCCATAGCGAAGGCTCTTATATAATTTACCTTTACTCTAACATTTCAAAACATGAGGTTTCATATTTACACAAATAAAAAAAAAATATATATATATTAAAACAAGCTTAAGTTTATTAAACAAAAGAAAATTGCAGAAAATATTTAAGGGAAACCAAAATATAAATAATAGATTTTCTTATAACGTTTAAAAATCAAATGAAAAATACATCGTTTAGCATTAAATGAAATGAGATGCATGTATTTTTACCTTTTCCTTTCTTCGACAAATGTAATTTAAAGAGGGAGAACTCAAATTCTAAACAATTTCTTTATAGCACGGATAGAATTAACTATTATGAGTGACTCGTTGTTTCAAAACAGATCAAAAGAACTTAAAGAGAAGGGTTAAAACCCCGTGAATTTATTAAAAAATACGAGAAAGAAGAAACAAGTTATTAAATACCTGTTTGATAACGTTTTTGTTTCTTGTTTCTCGTTTCCAATTTTACGAAGAAATTTAAAACATTTTATCATTAGACATATATTTCGATCAAGAGAATCGTGAATTCAAATCACCACATCCACACGTTGTTGTATCATCGGGACATGTGTGTGATTCCATGGGGTGGATTGAGTGCGTTGGAAAAGGGGAAATTAAGATTGAAATTTGCTTTTTGTTTTCTTATAAATCTTGTGGGACACAACGACAACACAAAAGTCACAAACAATGGGAATGGTCTAAATTTCTGGCACACGTGCTTTCTACACGCACGAGTCTCTCTCTCTCTTCCCCAATCATTTTTATTATTGTTTTTTTCTTATTCAAATATTTGTTCTTTTGTCTTCAATTATCAACGCGTCATTTGCGCTCAAACTCAGTTCGTGACTCACTGTCCCACTATTTAAGGTATATAATACACATTAGAGTAAGATCAAATTTTAATTTTTTTTTCCGTTAAGTGATTTAAGATATATGTATCTTTGGATTTCCACCCCTATGTATTGTACCGAAAAAAGAACTTCCTTTCAATTTTAGTTTAATAAAGAGTGGAAATTTAAATCTTCGAGCGCTTAATTTAAATATTTTCATTTTGATATTTCTACTTTTAAATATTTTTGTACTTGTACTTTAAATATTTTAGTCAACTTTTTTATTCAAAATCATAGCTACCTTTCATGTTATGAACATTTGTTTTAGTCATTGTTTGCAAATTTGAATTAGTCTATTATTACAAGTTCATTATTCATGTTATGAACTCTACTACAAAAATATATATAGAACTCTACTACAAAATATAGAGCATGAAAATTTGAGCAGGGAGCGTGCAAATCTCGAATGACGACATTTTGCCACCCTATGGACGTACGTCAAATATAAGGGACGACGTCTGGCAGTGGGAACTCTACTAAAAAAAATTCACTTTTGACATCTGCAATATTAACGATACAATCAAAGGAAGAAAAACAAACCAAAGTCAAGTGCAAAAATTATGGAACGATCCTGATTCAAGCGTGTAATTGTTAATGGAAGTTTAACGATAAACGACATCTACGACTGCAGTACATTTAGTGTAATTAAAAAAAATTAGTAATAATAATTCGAGCGTAGTTCCGCAAAGTTACATGTTGTGACAAGCTATACTCTCTTTCACATTAATTATTCTACGGCAACCCTTCACATATTCACTCCCATAAATTCATTATTATCGCATCATAAAATTCATTTTAAATTAACCCTAAATAATTTTGTTCCACTAAAATTTAATATGACACACGCTCTCATTTTAGTTCTTAGGATTTCATTAATTCTCTTTAAAACATCCCCATTGTTTACTAGATGTAAAAGGTTTTATTACGTGAAATTAAATCAGTTGGAACGTTTCTAACAGAACTCATCTATCCCTTTAATTTTTTTTACCCAATTCAAACTCTATAATAACTAGCTTAATACACATCTTTCTTAAAAGAAAACAAAGTCTCGGTGTTTTAACTACACTTATACTATGTTCGGATTAGTATTAATATTCATGAGGTTCAATCTCAAAACCAATTGACAATGAGAGGAGTAGCCACCCGTGTCTATTATAAGCCTATGCAATGTCTTTTTTCTTTTCAATGTGGGATCCTTAACATGCCCCACAAAATCGTGGTTCTTTTGGCTCGACGATCTTGGTCGGATCCCATTTTTTGGATCGGATGCTTGTTTGAACTTGTTGGGCTCTGGTACCATATTAATATTCATGAAGTTTCATCTCAAAATCAATTGGCAATGAGAGAAATAGTTCATGTCTATTATTAACTATGTAATGTCTTTTTTCTTTTCTTAACGGTTAGGTCATTACTTCTCCTTACCACACGAAACAATGTTGGAAAGATTTAAGCAAAATTAAAAGACGAAATTGAAGCTAATTTTAAAATTAAACACAAATCATCAAGATTAAATTAATAATTTTGAACTTTAATAGTATAAAACAAATGAAGATGACATAGTAGAATTGAAAACCCAACTTTCTGTTGGATCAGTTCTATCAATACAGTGACACAACTCTATCCCCCAAAACAAAATAAGAAAAGAAAAAAAAAACACAATCCTCCACCACAAAAAAATTGACAAATGGAATCCTAAGTTTGACTTTCTTTTGGGGGTCTAGGGTTTCTTAGAAACAAACCATATTATAATATTATAATTAATTGTAGGAAAGAGACTGCTACCACGGGGCAATGTGATTTTAACCTAACCCATAATTTCCACACACACCCAAAAAAAAAAAAAAAAAAAAAAGACCCAACAACTCTTGGTTTGACCAATTGCCATCATAGGATTTCATTGGGACAACATTGTAGACTTTGAGCCCTTTCATGTCCCTTTGCTCTGTTTTCTTTTTTTCTCCCTTCTTAGGACCCTTTTCATGTCTCATTATACTCCTATAATTATTTTAAACGTGCTCCTTTATTTCTCAAATTTCATTTAATCAATACAGTTCGATTTGTCTTTTATTTCTAGTTTCGATTTTAGTTCATTTTGGTATCTTTACTTCTAATTTTTTGTTTATTTTAGTTTCTATACTTTTAATAAACGACAATTTTGTTCTCGTTATTTGCACATTTTTAACACAAATTTTATACACAATAGAATTGATTTAATACAAATTTATGACTATTTTTCAAGGAATTTAGTTAATACTGAAATGCCATGTTAAAATTTTGATTCAAATAAATGAGATGAAAATGAAAATGAAATGAGCTAAATGGTTACTTTTTAAAATTATATTGACCAAAACGAATGTTTCGAAAGTATAGAGAGTAAAATGAACAAAAATTTAAAGTATAGAAAGTATATGGACGAAAACACTGCCGAAAAAAATCACTTATTACTCTTTGTATTTAACCTGATAAATTAGTTTAACTTAAAACTTTTATTTCACATGATTGAATCATAATCTTGAAATAATTTAGTAGTTTGGATTATCGTTCCTTCACCCATCCGAACATAACTTAGTATATAAGGTACCAATTATTTTTTTTAGGTCGAATATATAATCCTTCATTAAAATTGACTCGTCGAACTAAATATAAAGATAAAAATGAAAATTTCCTCATCAATTACATATCTTATATCCAAAGCAACTGTAATTCACTTGAGCAAAAAAAAAAGAAAAAAAAACTTGAAATCAATACAAGAAATAGCTAATAGTGGATGTATTTAAACTACTACCTTAGTAGCTACTTAATATCCTAGAAATTAAAGCAAATTACATCTAAAATGGTAACATCAGCTTCAATTTCAATGGTTCTACTTTTCAGTCAAATCATTGAAACTAATGTATTTACTTGAGAGAGAAGAAAACTACAACCAAATAAAATTGATTGGTTTGATTTATTGTAACTTTTTCTTTTTTCGTAACATTTCAAAATACTCATCATTCAAATTTTTGAAATACCATATTATACAAGAAAATAAATATGGAGTCAAATCATTTTACAAGATTCAGAATTTAATTAAAGACTCAGCTACTCAACCGAATTTCAAATACTCATCGTATATACATACTATTAATCAGATATTCGATTTAATAGGTACTATTAAAGTAGTTAAAAAACTTGGAAAGAATTAACAAATCCCAAATGGATTAAATTATATAAAAAAAGATGTGGAATAAGGAATTAGGAATTAGGAATTAAGAATTAGGATCCAATCCATAGCATTAATATTCATATCAATGAAAGACTCCAACTTCCAATACCCAAATTCCAAGTTCCAAATTGTTGAGTCAAACACTAAATTTGCTACGTAAGCAAAAGGTCAAGCAAAGCGGCTTGCTACCCTCCCCTGCCTGTGACCCTCACCTCACTTTCCCACCAACAACAACAATCAAACATTA